CACACAGACGAGGGGTCGTTGGCTGAAACCTGAGCTTTCAGCTTTTCAGAGTAGCTCCTCTTTGCTGCTCTGATCTCCCTTGTCAGTGTGTTTCTTGCCTGGCTGTACAGAGTCCTGTCCCCACTTCTGTAAGCCTCCTCTTTGGCATGACAAAGCTGCTTGAGTCTGGCTGTAAACCAGGGCTTGTTGTTGTTGTATGTGCAGAAGGTCTTTTTGGGCACACACACATCCTCACAGAAGTTGATATAAGATGTCACAGTGTCAGTGAGTTCATCCAGGTCTGTAGCTGCAGTCTCAATTACACTCCAGTCTGTGCAGTCAAAGCAGGCCTGTAGCTCTGACTTAGCCTCCTCAGTCCAGCTCTTCACTGTTTTGACCACAAGCTTCTCGGCTTTAAGTTTCTGCCTGTAGGTTGGAATAAGATGGATCATACAGTGATCAGAGAGTCCGAGGGCTGCGCGGGGGACAGAGTTATAGGCGTCTTTTATTGTTGTGTAGCAGTGGTCCAGTGTGATTTTGTCCCTGGTGGGACAGGTAACGTGCTATCTGTATTTGGTCAGTTTGTGAGTGAGATTTGCTCTGTTAAATTCCCCTAGAACAATGAGTGGAGAGTCTGGATGTTCTAGCTTCACGCTAGTAATCAGTTCTGTTAGGAGCCATAGTGTGCTAGTGTGGGCCTGCGGTGTTATGTACACTCCCATTAGCATGACACTGTTGAATTCATGGGGAGAGTAAAAGGGTTTGCAGTTGATAACAAGAGTCTCTAGGTCTGCGGTACATGTCTTCTGTAGCACTGTGACATCTGTGCACCAACCTAATGGAGGACATAACAAGTGCTATGGATGAGAGGAAATATACGATGGGAATATTTATTGACCTAAAAAAGCATTTGACACAATCAATCATGAGCTATTAATGGATAAGTTAGAAAAATATGGGATCAGGGGATTGGTTTTGAATTGGATTAGAAGTTACTTGACACAGAGGCATCAATTTGTGAAGTTGGGTGAATACCAATCGAGTGAGCTGGACATTGTATGTGGAGTGCCTCAGGGTTCTGTTTTGGGACCTAAATTATTTATACTATATATTAATGATATATGTAAGGTTTCTGATTTAGTGAAAGTGGTTTTGTTTGCTGATGACACTACCATATGGGCATCGGGTGAAAACCTACAGCAACTCTCTGGACGGGTTTCACAGGAACTTGAGAAGATAAAGAAATGGTGTGACAGTAATATACTATCTCTGAATTTGGATAAAACTAAATTTATGGTATTTGGGAATCACAGACTAGACAATGAACTTCAATTGCAAATTGGGGGAGCTAATATCGAACGAGTACATGAAATTAAATTTCTAGGTGTCATAGTTGATGACAAATTCTCC